TCGTAACCCGAAATGTTCGTTAGTAGAGGCGTTCGTATCCCGAGGTACCACTGTACTTTGCAAACACAGTCTTGCTGTACTCAGGTGGTTTACCTGTAGAACAGTCTGCCTGGCAAACCAAGAGGATCAATGAAAGCTCTCTCTAGAAGCATCAGCTGATCATTCATGCTCCGTACAGCAATGGGGCTGTAAAAGAAGAAAGAGGAAGGTATAAAACACCCCTGGACAATTTAGGATCTTGTGACCTGAGATATGCTATATTTCAACTGTTTTGAATTTTTGCTGCATTTGTAATGCTGTTGCTTAATTTCTTAACCTTAGGGCTTTTCCTCACTTGCCTGTACCCATGGTTCAAACATGCTCCTATAACCACTTTTTTCCAGCCATGATCTCCCACCATACAAGAGTTCCACAAGGAAACTTGGCTGTGCTCCCAGGCCTGAGTTAAGCTGGTTGAATGGATTTTTTCTCATGCAATGTCTGCTATGTTAGGGTGCACACATTATTTTCTTTTAAATTGTTCTCCACTCTTTTAATTAATATAAACTGCCTAGAGTCATTTGGGAACCTAGTAGCTGAGTGAGTGAGTGAGTGAGTGAGTGAGTGAGTGAGTGAGTGAATGAATGAATGAATGAATGAATGAATGAATGAATGAATGAATGAATGAAGCATTTGTCTCATTCCCAGTTCCCACCTGAGGTAGTTTAAAATTGTCCTTAGTTTCTCTCATGTCTTGGCTCAGTTTTTCCTATGGATATGATCTGGCATGCTTCACTGTTTGGTTCCCAATGAGTTCAGAGGTCAGGATCTGCCCAGCTTCTACTGGTTCTTTTAAGCTGTTTTAGGAATGCTCCCTCCAGCCCAGTTGCTGGACACTGCCCTCCATGGCTGTTTTGGCTTGGGCTGCAGGTGAAACAGGCCCCTAGCTTCAGCAGAACATCTTGCATCATGCCTGATGGGCATCTTCTGAAGCACTTGTCAGGTCTTATGTGGACCATTCATTAGCCTCATTGCTGTGGCCTATGAGGGCTTAACCAAGGGGGCAGCAAATTTTATGCCAGCCATTTTTTTTGCTGGCTCAAGGACTGGTGGATAGTGCTTTGATTTCACCATGAGGAATAGTCCTTAGAAAATTCAAGAAAACTATTTCCTTGCTTTCGTTCTCATTGACTCAACTTCCTACCTTCCCTATTCATCTGTTGTTGATAGAAGTTTCAACCCAGAGCATCTCTCTGCATGGTTTCATTTCCCTGTGCATTAAAGGAACCATTACTTTGTAGTGGCATGGGCCCAGAGTCACTGCTATGAGATTGGTGGCTGTATAATTTGTTTTAGTCAACCATCCATCTTGCCAGTGGCTGAAGGTTCCTGGACATGATTTTTCTCATGCTGCCAGCTTGCCCTCCAAGCTGCCCTTTTTGTTCATTTTCCCTACTTAGAAAAAATACGTAAGAACCTCATTTGCTATTTTCTTCAGTAACACCATGCCTGCTCTGATGTTAATAGAAAAAAAATGTTTGGTTAACTGCCACTGTTACATAGAGCCCATTAAGTTAAAAGTTACATTAAGTTTTACAAATGCATTTCAAACTCAACCTTAGAAAGGAGACCTTGACTTGGATTCAACAAATTTTAAGCATAAGGGGGAAAAGTCACTAGCACACTGCTTCAACACTTGCATTGCTTGTGCATTGCTTCATATATGAAGTAGGGTTATTCCCAGCTCTTATGCTCAGAGGACTGCATCGATAAATAACCTTGCAGGTGTTAACATTTTTGTCATTCAAGCTTAGTGCAGCCTTCCCTGACCAATCTCTCTAGATGTGTTAAATTCTCTTAATTTCTTGACATCTGGAATGGCTTTGGGGATTTAAGAAATTTTAATCCAATAGAAATATCAGCAGGGGGTCCCATCTTGCCAACTTCCTCTGGACTTAGAAGTTAAGCAGGGTCAGACCTGGTTACTACTTGAATGGGACAAAACCAAGGAATTTCAGGGTTGTAGGCTAGACTCGGAATTTGGGGGAAAAAAAGAGGTAGAGTAGCAATGACAAATCACTTCTGCATTACTGTCAAGAAAAGTGTAGGGATGAGACCTTGAAGTCATCAGGAGCTTGGCTCAAAGGAGACTTTACCTTTCATCCATCACATCTAGAAGACACTGGATAAGTTGCATGCTATTCATTTTTAGGATTAACCAGATTTAGCATGCAAATATGTGTATGCATAAAGGACAGAGAGAAATTTGTTAATTAGCATAAAATTAAAGTGGGCAATTCCCTGGCTACACATGGCCCTAGATGTTAATTTGCACCCTGCAAACATGCCGCCCTGAATACTGAATTAGAAATATAAGAACAGCCCAACTGGATCAGGTGAAAGACTATATAATTGTGCACTGTGTCATATAGCAGCAATGCAGATGCTTTTAGCTGCTAATTCTTAGTTATAATTCTCTGCCTGTTGTTCAGAAGTAAGCCTCATTGAATTCAACTTATATTACTTCCAGATAAATGAGCAAGGGGCTTGCAAATGAGTATCTATTATATTAATCACAAGGTGCTGAAGCACTGTGATGTAAGCAAAACTTTCTCTTAAAGATGAATGAATTATTATAAATAATACCATTAAAGTTGCATTAACTTTTCCAGAAACAGTAGACTTACTTATTCATATCAAGCTGTGAAAGCCTGCGGTGAAAATCTGTTGCTACATCTGCAAAGTGATTCACAGCAGAAAAGAGGGGATCTACAAACAGAAGAGTTGCACAATCAGGTTCAACCTTTGTGGTCTCTAGTTTAATAAGATAGGGAAAGATGGCATAGCACAGCTTCTGGAATTCATTCCAGCTCCATCAAACTAGCTCTCTTCTGGGTCACAAGACCAGGAAGGAAGTGGGAGGGGTGCTTAGGATAGAGGCGTTAGCACCTGACAGCATCTCCCACAGGAATGCAGGGGGGGAATTTTTTTCTGATGTTTTTCTCAGCAGCCTTTGTGTAGATCCTTCCCATTTTTGAACCTGTCCTTTCTTTGGCTGATGTCTTCCACCATACCAAATTAAATTGTATTTTTGAACAGCTATCTCGCTGACAGCTGTGGCTAGGAAGACCTTTGCCCACATTCCCCTGGTGTGCCAAATGCACCCTTTCCTGAACCAGGAATCCCTTCTCAAAGTAACTCATGCCTTAGTCATATTATGTGTAGACTACTGCAGCGTGCTCTTCATGAGATTATCCTTGAAGGCCACTCAGAAGGTACAGCCAGTCTAGGCTATGGCAGCATGGAGGGTTAGTGGCACATCTTGGTACACCCAAGTAACACCTCTGCTGCATGTGCTGCATTGGTAACAAGTAAGTTTCCAGGTGCAATTCAAGGTATTCAAGATAACCAATTAAGAACCATAAACCAAAGACATTAATAATAGTGTGGTTTAAGTGTAACAATCCCTGTATGCACTATCAGTTTTAATTAGTAGACCCTAAACTGACTTCAGCTGATCTCAAAGAGCTGAGCAGGATCAGAACTGGTTAGTACTTGAATGGGAGGCCATGAGAGTATCCCAGGTTGACCATGTGGTTGAAAAAATTATTCTGGAAGAAGGTAATGATATACTATGTGCATATAACTGCCAAGAAAGCCACATGTCTATGTAGTATTGATCAACAATATTACTGAGCTTAGACAAACCAGTAGCCTGATTCAGAGGCACATTACCCTTGACCAGATCAGTGAAAGACAATGCCTCTATCTGGACCACATGTCAAGCTTAGTTAGTTTTAACCTTAGTTAGTCTGTTATTCATGTCTTAGTGTCATGCAAACCCAATCAATTTAATTATCTTATGGTTCAACACACTGTGCAAATCTGGAAAATGAGCTGAATAACCAGTTAAAGCCTCTTGTACAAAACCAGCCTATGGATAGTTCACAAATAACCATAAATCATAATGTTTGCTTGGGGCTATGGGTGAAGAAGGCCATGACAACCCATTCAATAAATCACGATTTAAAAATCTGGGGCAGGGGTAGGGGGCAGATTCCCTTGCTGGAGGTTCTCAAGCAAAGGCTGGAAAGCTGTGGCTTCACATTTCCATTATTGAGCCAAGGAATTAATTAAATGGCCTTCAAGAACCCTTCAGATTCTATGATTCCATCCTTGGTGGACAGAATGGTGGTAAGTAGAAATCTCAACTGTAAATTTATGAATTCAAAATTGTGTTCAAGAGCATGCTTACCAAATGATACTTTGTACATCTCAAGTTGTGCTTCATGTTTCTTGGCCTGATCATAGATTTCATTGGCATAGAGTGTCAAAGCTTCTGCATAATCCTGACACTGTAGGGGAAGGACCAGGGAATCGGAAAGCTCATAGACCAAGCCTGCACGTATCTGAGCAACAGTGAGCTGTTTCTGGAAAGTGGGATCATAGAACTGCTTGACCAGTTCAAAAGTCTCATAGGTAGTGTGGTAAACAGGATAATTACTGTATTTGTCCACTTTCTGTCAAAAAAATTAAACAAGTCAGCAAAATGAAGCCCATTCAAGTTCTCATCTAGACATCCCCTCAAAACCACAGATAAGTCCACAGCATCCCAGTCTGGATGAGGCAATTAAATTTATATCTATTTTCAATTTTAAAACATCCATGGTGATTTATACCACTTGTGGGATGAAGGCATTATGCAAAGGATACAAATTCATTTGTGTGGCTTACAACAT